GAATATTTTAAAAATAGCAAAAACGGGGCTGTAAAAAAAAGTTAAGTGAAACAAGGGGACCTAAAACTGTCATCGTTAAGTGAAGCATGGTCCCGAAATCGGTAAGTGAAAATCGCCCATAGAGAAAATTGTTAAGTGAAGCGCAAGATCGCTCCGAAAAAGCCATCGTTAAGTGATTTTTTCGTTGTACGAAGCAATTGTTAAACGAGGCACCACTGTACTTGCAAAGTACCATGTGTTGTACTATCATGAGATCCAGAACCCAAAGAGATGCCCTGCTCAAAAGACAAGCAATTTACTATGGTCTCAGTCTGCAGGTGTGGCCAGGAGTTGGGCGCTACATGCTACTGTCTTCTCTCTAGTGGCAGTATGTGGTGTCCCAAGGGCCACTGTGGCTGCTACTGGCCCCCATACACCACTTCCTTCCTCAGCCAGCCAATCTAAGAGCTTCTAAAAGGGCACTCTCCTCTCTGGTTCACTCCTGGAACATGAAAGAGCTCCTTTCTTCAAGGAGGCAGCCAGTCTGTTTTCTCATCCACCTTCTTTTTGTGCACATGGTAACTAGCAGTGTGTCTGCTGGGACAGAATATGGTTTAAGAGGTGCCATGAATGTGCTGCATGTTGGATGGAGCAATCTTTTGTGTCAGTTTGTGATTTTTTTTTACTTTCTTCGGTCACATGTGACAGTGTAGAGAGAAAGGCTAGTTTCTCCTATCTAAATATGTTCCTGACAACCAGGTAAGTAACGTCTGATTAGGGCCATTGCCTGGATCTTTGGGTGTTAAGCTTTGGAAGGCTTGTGGTGCAGATTTCTTCTCCTTCAAAGGAGCTTTGCTTTGATTCAGTCATCTGTCACATCTCTCTGGATCAAGCAATTCAGGATTCAACCAAATCTGAAGCACATTGCTATTTTTATGGCCGTTCAACAAACAGAACACCTTGCCTTACACTCCCATTACAGGTGGTGAAGAACAAACATGAATTGTTCTGAGGAGACAATTCTCTTTTCCTGTATGCATACATTTTCAAATGGGAGGCCTCCACTGAGTATCAGTATAACGTGAGAACTTTTGTCCCATAGGCATGTACTTTGCAGAGGACTTCCTCAGTTACTCTTAACTTTTCAGCATTCCAAATAAACTGCAGACAGGGCTTAACTTCATGCCCTCATAAACCATCTTTCTTCTTCCCCCCTCCACTATTTTTTTAAAAAAAGTATGCATGAAGGCATGCTATGCATAACTCAAAAGCTTGCATAGCACTTTGCAAATGTAGTTTGTTCCTTAAAAAGAAATTGTTTTAATATCCTTGTCTGGATTTTTTTTTTAATGGATTGGCATTTGCATGCTAGGATTAAGTTTATAGAGATTTGGAAATTTTAACATATGTTATATTTTAGTTGCTTAATGGGATTTATATTTAATTTGAACAGGATATTTTATATTTGCTTTCTAATATGTTGTTGCCCACCCAGAACTTTGGAGTTGGAGTGGGATATAAAGTCCAAAAGTGAAAAAAAAAAGTGTGTTTTTGCAACTAGGTTGTTTTGGAACTGGAATTTATATTTTCTAGTAATTCCTCCTACCTTTCCTATGAATGTTCTGGCTTGTGCCGGATCTCTGCAATATTA